GGGAAGGTGAGGGCGGGGTCCCAGAGCGGGGGGCCGGGTGGGGGTGTCGGGTTGTCTGGGCGGGCCTCAGCGGCCACGGCCGTAAAACCAGAGTGACAGCCCGAGGCCATCTGGGTGCGACGAGAATGGCCCGGTGAATGCCCTGTCCTCTCCTGGGGGTCTGCTTTTCCCCAGCGGCGGGGGCGGGGGCTGCCTCGTGCCGGTACGGAGCGGCCGCGGGAGCTCCCGCAACCCAGGGAAGTGGGCACTACCAACCCTGGCCAGAGTCACTCAGGGGTAAGGGAAGCAACCGGCGTTTGAACCCAACCAGGTTTTTCTAAAAAGACACCTCTGCCTCTCCGTGCTTCCCTCCTGATCCCGAGAGTGACTGAAAGTTAGAACGAGTCCCGGGGAGGCCAGCCAGGGCTTCCTCTAGGAGCCCTCACCCTTTGGCACCGGCACTATCGCTGCTGGGGAATTTTCACATCCCGGGCGGCGTTCAGGTGCGAGTCACAGCTACCTGCCTGCTGGGGCCGCGTTTGTCCGGCCTTTTAAAGGAGAGAGCCTGCTGTGGTCAGTTTCACTTGCCATGCCCGTCAGGCCCGCCCTTTCCCACGCCACTTGGCCCCACCTTCCAGCCAGCAGGTAGGGTCATTCGGATTCCTGAGCCGAATTCTCTCCTCACCCTACTCTCCAGGTTTGATGCCCTTTTGTTGGCGGAAGAAAGAGATGACAGCTGCCTTCTGTGGCAAGATAGACTTTGCTCTGTTTTAAGTCACTGGAGGAAACCGGTTGGCTTTACTTGGTTTTGAGAACCAGTGGGGAAGAGGGTAGTCATACTGGGCTGGGCGCCTTTCCCTCTTGACTGAGTAGTTTTGCATGAGATAAGAAAGAGCAGGATATGTTAATTGTGGGGCCAAAAGAATCCTTGTTGGTAAACAGTGCCTGTGAGCTCCTCCAGTGCTCCTTAATGGCTCTGCTGTGCCAGTTGATTGGTTGGTTAGAGACTTTCTGAAGGTAGCCCTCATTCATTCATTCATTCATTCATTCCTCACATGACAACAACAGGGTCTGTCTGGAGAGGCAAGTGCTATTGGAGCCAGACTTCCTGAGTTCACATTCTGGCTCAGCAGATTTCCAGCTGTGTGTCCTTGGGCACATTGCTTAATCTCTCTGTGCCTCACTGTCCTTGTCTATAAAACAGGAGTGATAACATAGTGATAATATTAAGATTTTTGCAGTTAACACATATAAAACACATAGAACCATGCCTGCCACATAATAAGAGTTCAATACATGTTAACTGTTATTTCAAGGGTCCAGTTAAGGGAACTGATGTGTAAACAGATAGTTGAAATGTGTTCTTTTTTTTTTTTTTGAGTTGGAGTCTCACTCTGTCGCCCAGACTGGAGTGCAGTGGCACGCTCCCGGCCACCGCAGCCTCGACCTGCTGGGCTCCAGTGATCCTTCTGCCTCAGCCTTCCAAGCTGCTGA